TCAGTCGGCTGACATGAACTAAAACTGGAAAACCATTGCTGTCCATGAGTGACGTTGGGCGGTTGGGTAGATGGCCGGAGTCATAACGAGCAACAGTGGAGGTTAAGATGTGACAATTCGAATTGGGAGAACAGGGCAAGTTTAGTCTCAAAAGTATGGTGCAATCTGAGAACAAGCAAACTCACTGGTTGCACTGTTGTTGGGAAGTCAGGTGAAGGGGTTAGGTGTGATGGAGACACAGAGGTGGTTGAATTCGAATGAGTAGTCCAACAGGTTGGAATGGTGGTCGTTGGGGTCAATGAAACGAGCAGGCAAGAGGGCTCGGTTGAGAGGAGGTTTGGAACAGTTGCGGGTGTGCTATCAAACTGAGCATGGCAGTGCCGTGCCATCATTGGCCCGACAAGCTTCAGTTTTTGACCGCCCCGTGACGGACTTCACATCTGATTTGATTCAGCTGGTGGTGTGCTCTTCATTGGGCAGCGATATTCATTTCATCCTGGTTGATGAAACAAGTTGGAACGAAACCGATATGGGATTGTAAGTTTTCTTGTTTCGCTTGGTGATCCAGGAGTTGTAGATTATATGTCTGATGGAGTGGAGATCAGCTAACCAAGTCGTCCAAAGCGGGCACTTCCGAAGTTCAAAGCTTGGGAAGGTGATGGGATGGGAGGAGATTCGCAAAACAATGAGTTTGAGGGGATATAAAATGGGATGCTATGCATTAATATACACAGAAAGAAAAACTTGGCGTCTGATGCAACTAGGGTGATTACAAGTGATTACATGGGGTAGGAAGTAGATAGATTTGTACTTAGTAGACTAGCGACCACGGGCTGAGTTTACTAACATAGGATATTATATTACAAGGGATCTAGTAAAAGCCGATATAAGCTCGCAGAAGAGTGGTATGGGAATCAGGTGTGTGAGGGCTGGCGTGAACGGACATCTTAGCTAACTGCTTAATCGAGTGTTTATTATGATTTGGATAATACCGGGAGAGGAAGTGTGTGCTTGAGAAATAGTCACCAGTCCCCGAAGCACTGCTATCAGCTCTAATCTGTAGGCGATGCATAGCGATTAAGCCTTCCGTGTCTACCACTGGGAGTTGTGAGTAGATGTATTCTCTGTTTGGATGAGGGAATGGGCATTGGTGCGTTGTTCTGACGAAAGCAGATACAACTATGCTCGCCAATGTAGGCCATGGGTATTGCAGAGTATCTTCCGGCTATCCCAAGCGATCTTTAAATTTTCTTGTTTTTTACAGCTGAGAGGCCAGTTTTTTTCATCTGTGGTTTATGGCATTACCAGTTGCATAAGTCCACCGAGGCGAGCCCAACTCCAGCAGCAACAGACAGAATTCAGCAGTACTTTTTTGATTTCCCGAATTTAATGGCCAGACTCAGACTCACCGGCGATGGGCGATGCACCCGTGCTACTGGATGGGTGGCGCGTATACGAACACACCATGGTGCAACGTAACAGGGCGACCCTCCCTGTAGGGCGTACCCGTCCACCACACAAGGTTTTTCTCCCTCGTGCATGCTACTAGATCTGCAAAGTGGAAAACCATCCAAGCAGTCACAAGGTGCGGTTTGTCATGATTAAATCCTCCAGCTACCATTGTTTCTGGCCGAGGGACAACCCAGTAAAGACAGCTCAGTCAATCCGAATAAGCAGCAGCATACAGACGCTGGTAGAGGCAAGTCGCGAAGGAGCAGTGAAATGACAGTTGTAAATGAGTCAGCGGGACTGGAATGTTGATACTCATGGCGATTGCACCATGGCTAAACGGGGTCGGGGCGTTGATGTGGGCTGCCACGTCGAGCAGGAGCGTTCCGCGATATTGTGTGTGGAAGTGTTTAGTGGAACAAATCATCAAATGGATATATATAAGCGCAGAATGCGCTCTTATAATGAAATGAAGAAATAAATCGACTTTGGCTTGGTTTTTATCAGTTAGAGTTAGACTGAAAGCACCAGTTACTAGACAGAGCTGATAGAGTAATCCTGGGTAAGGACTGGGTTAAGACGAGGCATAAGTTGACTGGGTAGGAGAAAACAACTAGGCCAGTAACACAGCATAATTAGAATTAGTAGGTGATTAAGCCGTGCAGTGATTTGGGGAAGAAATAGCTAATTTTGGTTTGGTTGTTTTCAGTAGAGGTTGGACGAGATCGCATCAACCGCATACCCATTATCCATTAACCATATCCAGCCTGATGGCTTGCCTGTAGTTTACTTTATGTCTAATGCTTCCCAGAGGAGCGTGTTACCCAGAAGACCGTTTCGGTCAATCCAATTTGTACAAGGGCTTAAAAGCAGTGGACATCCTACTGTTACGTCTGTTTGATCAGCTTACAAGCCAAACAGTTCAGTCAACGGCATTAGTAATAGCTCGGTGAACACCAAACGTTGTCTTAAGCCAGATATAACATGTGATGACTACCATACTAGCCGTGACAAATTCCTTGGCTTCAGCGGGATGCTTGCCACAACCATAGAACAACTTACCATAATCAGGTTGCGAATGCCTGACCCAATTCGAGTCCGGGCGGACGTGATGGGCGTGATTGTTGTCTAAGTCGTTTTGAGATTATTTTTAAATCCAGGGCGTAAGAAAGCAAGCAAAGAACTGGCTTTCAAAAAAATTTCCCACCGTTTCCATGGCGACAATGCTTCGAGTCACCGGCATCAGTTAAAATACAAATTCCTCGCGATCAGTGACCCCCGAGTTCGCCTAAACAACTTTTAAAACTGCTGCTGCTTGGGAAGATTCTAAGGGCCCGAATAATTAACATCAAATGCTATAACGTTATTTTAAAGTTTTCCATTTTCGAATAACGGTTTCAGGGAAATTTTGGGTGTGCGTGTAGGACGCGGCCAAAATGCATCGGAATTAATATATTCCTCTCATTACTCCGCCTAGTCTTTCAAGGACCTGATGACTAAAGCTAAAATACGGAAATCTAAACCATGTTAGCGCCGCCACACTGACATCCACAAAGAATCACCAATATTGTTATCTTAATTTGGTGAACATCTGGATTACAATCATGCGTCCCACGCCACGATTGTCCTAGGCAGTGTCGCCGTTCGTAAAAGGTATGTGACTAGACAATGCGGACGGTATTTTCCCTATATGAAAGCACACTGCTCTATGACCAAGAGTCTAGCGCGACAACTTATCTTCAAGAAGAGGAGTTCGAATTTTCCGGCTGCTTCTTTAGAGTGGGGACACGACTTAATACATATATCTTGCCCGCGATGAATGCTCACTTCGTTTACTCGACTGAGTTGATAATCGAAATCCCACAGTACATAGGATTCATGATATGAAAACTTGCCGCGCACTCAATGTAGTGTTCGGTGGTCGTCATAAAAACAAAAAAACTTAGTAGCTGTGGCGATTTCCTTGGTTTTGTTTGGCAGGAACCTTATCGCAGCCATAGAAACCTCTCACTAGTACTGGTCGCGGAAGGCTGCTTCGCTGATATCGAGAGCGTCATTGTTGTTCATGCAGTTATAAGGTTATTTCCAAATGCAATACAGAATAAAACATGCAAAGAAACCAGATTTTCCACAAATTTGCAACGGAGACAAACTAAACGAATATTGCACCCACGGTGAACCTCGAAAAAGTTAAAAAATTCCAACAAAACTGCAGCTGCACGGAGGGATCTTAAGGTTCCGGACAAATTTCATCGAACCCTAAAACTTCACTTCAAAGGTCTTTTTTCCGAACCACGTTTTCGGGGAAATTTAGGGTGTGCTTCACAGGCTCGACCCGTGGAGGCAAAGAATGTAGTCGATTTCGAAAGTCAAGTTGTTATTTTGGCACCAAGCATTTTATTTCGATGGAATGAAACCAGTTGGCATGCATGGCATTCGACTCCTTCCCACCGAAATCCTTTACCCTCCTGACGGCAATACAACCTGTCTGAACTGAAAGGCAGATGGGGTGGTTGCCCATATGTACGGGATATTGTTTGACCGCACAATTCAAGGGACCCCAATCGAGTGCACGATTGTGTTCGTGATATACGCGGGTAACAGAAGACTGCAAACAGTCCATTAGGTATATATATAAGTATTGCCATAGGGAGTTCGACAAAACATATGCCTCCGTCACTAAAGTTCAGTCCTTGTTGAAACACTGGCGAGATAAATGCGAGAAAACTGGAGCCTCTTACAGAAGCTTTCCTATGAGACAAACAAACGTTTAAAGTAATCGTTGAAGAAAGCGTTTTTCAGCACTTCATTGTAGGCAGCATGTGGCAAGAGCTCGGAAAATTGAAGGTGAAGAACTGGCGAGAATAGAACGAATTTCACTATTAAGGCGTCTCAGTCGCAAACAACAGATTGAGTATCTCAAGAAAAACTTCCATGATCCTCCATTTCCACTGGATGGAGAGGCACCAAGTGAACTTATTCGTTATTTCGGTACTTATTTTTAATGCTAGAATGTTCTGCGAAGGATGTGAAGGAAGATGTTGACAAATGTAAAGAGGAAGTAAATAGCTTAGTAGGAAAAGCGTCGAAAAATGTGGTGAAGAATTTATTGGAAGAAACACTGAGTATGGTCAAAGCGTCACCCCTAATTCCACGTAAACACAATGACGAGGTGAGCGTCCTGAATACTTTGCTTGTCACCAGAGGATTACCCCATTGATTTTCAAGCTACATTCCGCCAGCACGCAATTATTCCCTAGAAATCATCAGGATCCTAGAAACACCGTTGACTCCCACAGCAAACGCTTGCTGTTATCCTTTTATCCGGTGAAGCCAGTCACCGGGTTGGCCCAATTTATAGAAATAAGAACCCACAAGTAGAATGCACTGCCAGAAATATGGATGGGGGTGCAGTTACACACATATCTTAGCAATAGCGGCAAACGACAGCATACTGTTCGAACTAACTAAACTTTTAGCACCATAGGATCCGAATTTCACCGCTGCGTTACGCCAAAAGGTCTTCAACGTAACTAAGCTTATTCAATGGAAAAGAGAACTCTCTGCGAGCATCGAAATCCACTGGTTCCAATGGTTTGTTCTAATCCGCGGTGAAGTAGTCACGGAGGGATTTGTAGAAATCCACGTAAGGTAAGCAGGGAGTAAGTCATATATCACTATCATAAACTATAGACCAAGAAAACGCATCCAATTCAAGATAAAAGTGCCTAAAACTTCCTGATAGTTGCCACACATAACTAATGCTAATTTCTTGCGGGCACATAAAGCAAATTTAAGACCCAGCGACATCGTTGTGCCAAGATGATTTTCTATGATTCATACTAGTTTCCACCAGCCTGAAGCACAGTCTGAGTACAAGGCTACGATATAACGGTCTGGATCGTTGGAGGATTTGATCAAGAGTTTCACATACTACTGTTTGTGCAGACTATCAAAGCATTTTCGGGGTATCGGGTTCTTTGAAGAGTTTAAAGGTTTAATAGCGGCCTGGGCAAGGTAAGTGACCTGGAAGTATTGAGCTGGTGGATCACTTAAGCATATCTTAAAGGGATTTGGGTACAGCGTCGAACCAACGGAAGCAAAAGCCTGGTACGATGGGTGGTCGTTGCTTTCACATAAATCTGGCGATCTGAAAAAATCGGCTATGTAACCCTGCTCTTATTACCCTTATACAAGCAGTGTTTATAAAGAGGCCGCTGGGGCATAGCCCCTTGTGAAGGACTTAACAAAACCAGTGTAGAATAAGTTCACTTGCTTTTTCTGATTGATTGCTTTTGTTAACTATCGGCTATCCACATGAAGGTTTGTAGCAGATGACGGATAACTGCGGTATTCACTCTAGGCTATGGATAGGCCCCCGTGTATTATTCTAGCCTGCAAATGAAAGAATCTTTAGAGATGTGGCTGAAACATACCTACACATATGCATATATAAATATATAAATGAATATATATATATATATATATATATATATAATTCATGACACTTCAACAGAGTGGCTTTATATATAAGATTTCCACCAAGCCCCCATATATCAAATCCTCAAAGTAATATTTATACACGGAAATGTGCCATAAAAATATGGATTCACTTATGTAATATGCAACCTGTGTTTCGTAGTGGCAGTTTTACGCAGCTCATGATATTGAATTAGCATAACGGTAGACACAGGAGCCTCATAATCACGGTTAGGTGGAATCCAAAAGTATGCTACAAGTTAGATAATTTTGGAATTGTTTTTATTGGCCTCAGTGAACTGCAGACACAGAGGAGAACTTTTATGTCAGCTCAATTATTTCAGCTGTGCGATGTCATATCCCAGCAAGAACTATCTGCGTCACATCAGAAACAGAATGATCCTGGAGTATCCAATGAGCAAAGTTTAACCGCATTCGAAAAAGTTCATTGAAGTGTACACCAAAAATTTGAATTCTCTAGATTGATCTTATCGTTAACTATCCAATTAAGCAGCAGGCGTCAAAACAAACCCTAAACCGCCTCTACTTTACCAGATTCAGACAGCTTCATTTTGATCCATCCATGTTTACCTACGAAAAATTAAAACACATAGCATGGCTCTCCTTTTGGGTTGATTGTAGTACAGACCAGCAGTAGGGTTCAAGGATGGATTTATTCATTGGAGCCAGATACAAATGGGTGAGACATTTGGTGGGAAAGCATAATCAGAGCTACCGCCTTGAAAAGTCAGACGCTGTGAAGGGGCGAACAATTGGTAGTCCACACTTTTTAACTGAATGCGCTTAAAGGAGGGGCAAAATAGAGTTTAAAAATATCCGAAGTTACTCAAGATACAATGTAGCACAAAATATTGTGGCTGACGACCGTCTTAATTTTTTTAAGGTTTTTCATTGAGTCCTGAGAAAATACACAACAATTTTCTCCGGCAGCAAATTATGACAAGAAACTGCCAATCTGAGTGAAGTTAATCAACTCAACAACTTTGATTTAGAAGACCAAACATTCGTCCTGACTTATAGAAGGTCATCAGTTGGTGGGTAATTTATGCACCTTTTATATGGTCGGATGGATGGCTTATACCATTGTGTGAGACAATAGCTGTTGATTAAGCAACCCGTTTGAAGTGCAATCGGGAGGCTGAATGTGAAGTCTTTGACAAGTCACAAGAACGGAGCCAACTAGGATACCATTGATCGTAAGAATAAGCTTAAAATATGCCTAATTGACCTTTATTTGCAGAATAAAAAATCAACAGAAAATAACAGTCTTTCGAGTTTGTGAGGAGTCTTGTAGAACTCTTTTTTGAAGGTGGTGAAAACAGTGTCCAGGTGGCTGACAGCATCTATATAGTTTTTTTCAGCTTTTAGCAATTGCAAGTGGTTTGGAGATACAGAAACGCGCACTTTGCCAGTAACACTGAGCAGAAAGGTTATCGATATGCTTCACAAGGCAGACGTAGGGTGGACGATAAAGAACCTTACGAATGGATTACTAGCAAACGGTTAGAGAAGGCTGCTAAGTTGCTCACTGGATGCTGATGGCTTCTTCTTTGTATAAACGCGTAGCAGCACCTAGGTCTGGTCGACTGAGAGACAGACAGAGGCGGAAGTGTACCGATCACCATCTTGAGAATAAAAAAGCACACCCAACAATGGGCTGTTGAAAAACCCGGTTGTAATTAGAGAAGCGTCAGCACCTTTTCAATATCAGTTTGTTTTAGAGGGAAGGGATGTGTGAGCATATTTCTGTTTTTTTTTCAGAAATGCTTTGTCCTATACACCAGGAGGACAGTGAGATTGAAAAACTACTTTTGACACCATTCTGGTACCGTACGGTGTTGTTTTTAAAAAGCCTCATTCGGATACGTCGTTAACAGCTTGAGTATTCGTCTTTCGGCAAGAAAGGTCTTCATATAGTTTGAATGCAAACTCGCCTATTCAAACAAGGGTTGTATTGTAAAACAGTGCATTTCTAGTGGAAACCCTTTTAGCTCTTCCATGCTTCTACTGATCTAGTTCTTAGGAATCGTATGTATTATCTATCACGTGCCCTAATTTGTGTCTGATTTAATTTTTGAACAGGATTCCTCAGAGGATGGAATAGCGCAAATTGACAATGATTTTTCTGAATATGCCGGTTCATATTTCATCAAGATACATGCATAGTGGTCTGTTTATGTTTCACGTTTTTGGGGCTTTTCTTTCAACAACATCACTGATGTTCCAGAATATTTGACCGCAGAAAGCAAAATCACAGGTGATTTAAGATGAGCTGCACAGCGATTAATTTCACCGATCCGCTGAAAAATGTTTTTATCAGCGACAATGTACTTCAGTGTGCATGATAGTCAAAAAGGTTGGCGGGTTGTTGGAAATTATTTCAGTGTGTACTATAAACTGACAAGGTGAATAAGATTTGACGTGACTCTCCAGAAAAAAAGATATAAACAGGCAGGTTAAGGCCACCATTAAAGCAACGAAACATGGGACTTTCTCTTCTTCCATCCTATGTTCCTATTGAACCCGATAGGACTTCCTGCATATCTACAGATGACAGACGTTGGCGCTATGAAAATGTTAGAGAATTTCCACCTCATGATTGTTCTTACCTCTAGCATCAATAGAGTGAGCCCTGAGTTTCGTCTTCCGGTATGAAATTACATCGTACTTCAACATCATTACCAAAAAAGCAGCCACGGAAAGTTAATGCGTTGAGATGTTTATCTGTTAGTTTATAATATCCAATGAAGCCCGATCCCCCGTAAAAGCTGTCTGATTCTGTTTGTGCTGTAGGACAACAAACCAGATTTACCTAATTGTCCATATGGAACACAAGTCCTATTTTGCTGATGAGGTCATATCTTGTTTATTTCTATGGTTGCGCACAGGTTGATTCTGCTTGTTTCTATAATTTTCACCCAGTTATGATAGTTATAAACTTCCAGCAAATACTAAGAGCTTCCTGCAAAGAGTGAATCGCTTTTGTCATTTTCTCATTAGATATCAAATTCTTCAAATTCTTTCTCATCTAGATTCTAACCTTTGGGTTTTTTAGAATTAGGTTACGGCGGGAGAATGATGTGGGCGAGTTTCCCGGCCCTTGAGAGGTATGCGAGCCAGTTAGCGTTTTGGCTTGTTATAACAGTGACGGACGGTTTGGAGCGATAGAGTGTTATTGGGATTCTGAATTCAGACGAATGGCCCTGTGAATGAAAAAGGTCCACAGTGAACTGCGGTTTTGAGCATCCTTGACAAAAATTTAGGCGGCAGATTTCAAGTCCTTGTGCGCAGTCACAGTGGTGTATTGGGTAACAGAGGTGTTTGAAAAATTAGCTTAATCCACAAAAGCGGCTGCAAACGACTAAATGTTTAACTAAATTGGCCCCGTATTGGTAGGCCGTACGCTGTAGACACTACATTAGTTCCAGAAAAACACGTTTTGGACAGTTTTTAAATAATATTTGAGGGAAGAAGGTTTTAACGGTGAGCTTTATCGTAGTTCTACTTCAAAGACGCATATATTTAGACGTTTAAGAGTTAACAAAAAAGTCAAAGACTAGTGAACTTCGGACAGTTTAAATGATTATATGTCTAGATATAAAGTAACAAACGCCTTTTTTGGGGCTTACAGTTTATGTAACGAATATGGGAGTTGGTAGTCTGGGAAGTTTC